CAGCCTCCGGGCAGCTCGCCAGAGAAGCCGGGGGAGCCCTCCGAGGCCATGGGCTGTGTCAGAGCTCCACTGCAAATGGAACCCACTGCCCAGAGCGTGGGGACAGTCCCCATCCCACCTGCACTGCTCACCATGGCGTCTGTGATCTCGAAGACCAGCGCCCCGGCTGCGTGGTAGGCAAAGCTGGCTGTGTTGAAGAAATAGCTGGAGGCCCCAAAATAAACCATGCGGTCGTGATCCGGGGGCAAGGTCAGCACCCCCGGAGGGAAGGGGACGGCAGAGCGGCGAGCCAGGGAGAAGAATTCGCCCTGGGAGGAGGGAGAGAGGTGAAGCAGGAGAGCAGAGGGCAGTGGGACTCACCCGCTGACCTGAGCTGGGAAAGAGCATTTGCAGGATGGACCCAAACCTGGTTCCCCACCCGTCTGTGGCGCTGGCATCAGCCAACTCGAGCTTTCCCAGGGCAGCCTCTCACCTTGAGACCCACATCCAGGGATCGGGCTGTAGCAATTGGCGGTGCCACCAAGGAGTAATCGATGCCAGTCATGGCATCTATCCTGGCTGTGACTGTAAAACACAGGACAGAGGGATGAGCAAGAGGGAGATGGCACAGCAGAGCTGGGAACAGATTGCCTGAGCTGACATCCAGGCAGTGCCATCCCTGGGCTTCCCGGTACAAGAGCTCAGTACCAGCTTTGTGTGTGCTTGCCTCTGTTTAGAAGCAAAAATCCCATTTCACCCAGCTCTGTTTCTCAGCCATACAGATTAACTCCTGGACCTGAGGAACAGTCTGGGTCCCCTGGCTAAGGCAGCCCGTGCCCCCGCCAGCGCCAGGGCATGGCTCGTCGGAGGCTACATGCGGATGAGTGGCCTGAGCTGCCTCTTCCCGCAGCCAGACAGGGTGACAAGTCTCTGCTGACACAGCATTCCCCAGCTCCCAACTTGGGTGCAGAAATACAAGGAAATGGGGAGTGGGCACAGGGTAAAGCTGTGTCCTCACAGCTGGGAAATGCTGGGAAGAAACGCTCCTAAAACCCCCGCGCAGCCCCGGCCCGGTACCTGGCAGGGTCTGGAGGTACGGCTGGAGCTCGCTGCGCACAGAGCTGACCACGATCTCACAGACCTGCGGGCAAGAAAGGCAGCGAGGCGGAGGCAGCGGCCACTCCACTTCCCCGGGTCAAAGCCTCGGCCGTGCTCTCTGCTTTGCTGCCTGGTGCCGGTTTTATTCCTTGCAAAAGCTGCTTAAATAAGAGCACACAGTGGTGTTTGTCTCTTCTCATCAGGCAGCACATTAATTAAGTGTCCGAGATACAAATACAGCCCTGATCCCAGTGACCTGGATCTCCCAGTGACTGGGATCTCCCAGTGACTGGGTCCCGCTGGCACTGGGGACACGAGGACTGTCTGTGCTCATGCAGCAAGTGCAGGAGTCAGATGTGGGGTGCCAGAGCTGGAGCTGGGTTGGGACGGGGCTGTGCCTTGGGGTGCTGGTGCAGCGCACTCCCAGCCCCTGCCCTCTCCTGCTCATCGCCTTGGCACCATCTCACACGTGGAGAAAGACACTGAGAAACGTGTGCTGGGCAAAGGGAGCTCGGACACGCTGCAGGAGGAGCAGCAGCAGCAATTGTCCCCTCGAGTCCCAAAGCTGCCCTTCTTCCAGGAGGCAAAACAGCCAAAAAGGCTTCGAGCGCCAGCTCCGCTCCTGCTGCCAGCCCATCTGCTGCCACGGCTCCTGGGAGCCTTGGGAAAGGCACTACACGGCATCGGGAATAGCGCCCGGGCAGGGTGGGATCCGCTGCAGGAGTGGGATTTGCCTGTTCTCCACCTGCCTCCTTCCTGAGCAGGGTTCACATCCAGGGAGGCTGGAACCCCTGCCAGTTCGCCGTGTAGTAATTATCACTAACAGCTTGTTTCCGTGTCTTGTTGCAGGTCTCCTCACAGAGGCTCTTGTACTGGGCGGACGGTACCAGGACCTCCCTGACGCCCCCGTCACAACAAGACAGCAAGTGTCTGACATCCAGAAATGTGGATTCTCCCCCATTGCTCCCCAAAGCACACGGGAGCGCGGCCGTTCAAAGGCCAGCTCTGATCAGGTTTCCTCTGTTCCAGTGAGTTTGGCCAAGGCATAAGATCTAATTAACTGACCACATGGAAAGAAAAGTCTTTGTTAATTAGCAAATTATGTTGGGCTTTGGCAAAGGCTGCAGGTTTGGAATTCAGCCTGAGCCACACGATGCCACGGAGCCTGCAGTTAGCCATGCCCATTCCTCTGGTTTTCACCAAATCAGCAACACGCCCGTGTGCTCCAGCTCTAGTTCAAGCCCTTCACATGCTCTGGTCCTTCTAGCACAGCAGCTACAAGGGAGGGCTAAAAGCCACCAGGAAAACCCAGAGCTCTGAACCCCTTCCCTCACGTACCTTGTCCTCCAAGATCGTCCGGAATCGGGACTCCACAGCTTTATAGAAGAGGTTGTAAAGCCACCTGCGGAGAAAAGCAGAGAGGAGTCCTTCCTCAGCTCAGAGGCTGCTGCAGAAGGGTTTGCCAGGGAAGGGAGACACTAGAGATGTGGGACACTGGGGAACGTCACTCCCAGACCAGTTTAGGGTCTAGCTTTGCCTTGGGGTTTACATTTGCACACAGATCTGCTTGTAAACAACGAGCACGTGAGTCCAGTGACTGCCTTAAACCTCCCTGAAATGCACAGCCACAGCAGGACAAAGCCAGGCCAGATTTAAGTTCATTTGGTGGCACATCTGGATGAGAATTATATTGTGAGAGTCCAGAGACAGCTGCCCAGTGGTGTGCCAGTGCAGGCAGCCTCCACGGGACTGCAGATATTCCTCACACCAGGGCCTGGAAGCCACGTTCCCACAGCAGATGGGCCAACGCGCAGCGTTTCCAGACCTGCACAGTGAAGTTACCTACCCAAACCTGCCCGAAAAGTGTACCCGGACTTTGGAGATGTGGGTGCTGCAGTCAGAGGTGGACACGGTGGGTTTCCCGGAGGCGTCATTGCCCAGCCTGAGGTTGATTTTGATGTAGACATTATCCACCTTCAGGTCAAACGACCCGTGGTCCCGGCTGCAGGGAGAGGAGGACAAGAAAAGGACATTTCTCAATGTCCAGTCCTGGTGAAGGGACCCCAAATCAGCTTCGGGATGGATCTGTCTCGCTCAGGCTCTCCCTTGTACTCCCTTGTACTCCCTGTACACCGCGCTTCCTTTTAAACTCAGGGAAGCTAAATGTCACTGGAACATAAACGAGGAGAGAGAACCTTTAAATATAGAGGATCAAGAGCAAGTAGGGGAGATGGAAGAGAGACGGGAGAGTTCATGCACAGCTCCTCCATCATCCACCTTGTTCTTGCCTCCACCCTGTTCTATCCATCTGGGTGGCTGTACGAGTGGCCATGACCTCTGCCCACCCCCTGTCCCAGCTCTGGTCTGTCCCTGCGGGTGCTCGGGACGTGTCCCCCGGACGCAGAGCGAAGTCCCCGCACAGGGAGCAGGGAGCAGGGAGCTGGGCACGCACATGAAGTGTATCTTCACCCCGTCCAGCTCGGCGAAGGCGTTGGAGATGGCGACCTGCAGGCCCACATTGGGGACCAGGGAAATCCGTGAGTACGGCAAGTGGAAACTGCGAAGGTCCAATCTATGGATAAATAAATAAAAAAATAAGAGAAAAGGCACTTAAGAGGGGGTGTACCACCACCGGAGGAGGGAGTGGGGCCACTCCCAGCTCCTCTCCTGCCTGGGACCAAAGTGATGCCTGGCAGGGACGTGGAAAACTTTGGAAATGTGGTCCCTGTGCAGCGGGAGCAGAGAGGTGCCACCGGGCAGCGAGGAGCTGGGATCTCCACAGAGACTGGGCTCCTGCTCTGTGTGGGGGACAGGCACCCTGCTCCCCTGGGCAAGGCCACCTCCACCACGGGGCTCCGACTGTGCAAAACCCACCCGCGCCCCCAGTGCCATCACCCCGGTTCCCTTCTTCCCCTTTGGGCAGGAGGGTGAAGCAGGAACGTCTCTGCCTGCACTGAGGACAGGGCCAACATCCCAGGGAGCTGTGGAGGGGACAGGACGGTCCCTGCAGCTCCAGGGGGTCCTCATTCTTCCCCACCCCTCCCATCCCTTG